TTACAAACCATGTGGGTTTTTATCGCTGGTTTTGATGTTCGTTTAGTTACTCTATTCATTTAGGATTAGTTTATTTAATTTGATACACGAACCGTAATGTAAGTTAGTTTTTGTCCTGTATCCGTATGTTAGAATTACTTAAATAACCAAAGGTCGGGTTATACAAACGTTTATATAGCAATGGAATATTACGAAAGCAAAATGTTTAATGAGTTATTCTTTTGTTATTTGCTCAAAAAAGGTGAAACTGAAAACGTTTCTAGGTGTAAGTCTACCCTACGCCTGAGTGCCACCACTGCGATGGCCAGACCGTGGACACGGCTCTCCACACGCTGGCAGAGTGCCCGGCGTGGGTTGAGCAGAGGCGAGACCTCGTGGCGGCCATCGGAGTGGGAGTTCTCTCGCTCGATAGCCTGATTGCGGCTATCGTGCGGAGCGAGAGTGTGTGGAACTCTGCCGTCTCCTTCTGCGAGCAAGTTATGCTCGCGAAGGAGACGGCGGAGCGGGACCGGGAGAGGTTTAGAACTCTCCCGGCCCGCCAGGCCCGGGCACGGGCCAGGCAGCGCAGGCGACTCAGGCGCCGGAGGTCGCAGAACGACCTCCGTCCTCCATAAGCGCAGGCCTGGGGGTGACAGGTGAGGCCATCTGTCACCCTAGCAGAAGCAGGCCGGGGTGGCGGCGAGCGCGTTGCGAAGCGCGCTCGCTTCCAGGGAGCACAGGGAACATGGGGTTCCCACACGGGGCGGGGGTCGTCTACTCGTCTGTAGATGACCCGAGGTATGTCGGGGCACCAGGGCCTTCCTTTCTAGGGTATACCTGGTTCCCCGGCTATTAGTACTCGGCGAAGGCGTGCGGTTTTAGTCGGTTCGAGTCCGACATGCCACCGACAGGTGGTATCCGAGGGGATTTCCGCACGGAAAAAAAAGGTGTGTAGTGAAACATTAGGTTTAATTTTTGTTCTTACAATAACATTATACGTTAATACAGCATTTTTAAATATCGTTAGTCCCTCTAAGAATAATAATAAAAAAACTTCTGTCACTTTGAGACTGTAAACAACTCAAAAATACAGAATATCACCACCCCTATTCATCCCGTGGGTGTCGTAAGAGCCGACTAAGGGAGAAAACTACGCAGAACAACAGCACTGCAGAGAAAAGGAAAACTTGACACAAACCCTATACCAACCCGTCTGGCCAGCGTGGTATAGTAGGCCAAAACCTCCTTTCTAAGGAGAGGCTTATGTCCAGCAGTGGACTATTGAAGGCTGTTGATGATTACTTACAACTACCTACATTTACCCAACTAACTACTTATATTAAGCGATCTGTGACTATGATTATCGCTGTTTGTTTATATTTTACGCCACCCACAGTTCATAAAATTGGTTCTATTGTAAAATTCGTCCCATTCCTGGAGCTGTAACCAACAGTAAAAAGGTTCGGAATAACTCCTAATGAAAGAAATTCAAGGTTTAATGATGCGGTAAATTAAAGGTGTTGGTGTGCTGGAATGTGTGTTTTCAGGCAATTTGAGGGACTTGTATTTTGGGTGAGCTTCTCTCCTTATTCACCCAAGGGATGTGAACGAAAAGGTGGAAAGTAATTTGATGTGTGGAAGATCTAATTTTGTGTGTGCTTTGTCATTTGTGACTGTCATATTTTAATAAATGGAACATTCGTGTTCAACTTATTCTGATATTTAAATGTCTGGGATTTTTACTTTTCCGTATTTAAGTCATATCTTAAATCATTTATTATATAAATTATTTTTCCGATCCATATCTTGGGAGGACGTCCCAGTCTAGTCCATAGTGGCCGTCTAATAACTTTTTATGCTTTAGTACGTTTAGTCAGTCAGTACAGTTGGAAAGTGAGTCAAATTTAATGCCAATTATAAATTCCTCGTGAAATAGATGCAAAAAGATGTGAATTTAAGTAAATAATAATAAAAATATTCTACCTCATTCACACAACGCTATCTAGTTCCAATCTAAGCAGAGCTTGTACTATGGGTACTAGACAACTGATATAAATACATATATACTTTTTTTGTAAATACATACATATTATACATAGAAACACCCAGACCAAATCAAACATTAAATGTTCAAGCATACAAATGTTTGACTTGAACGGGAATCGAACCTGCGACCTTTGGCTTAGCAGTCCGTTACACAAACCGTCGTCGTCGGTCGTCGAAATTTAAAGTAAATTTGTCTAAACTTGTTTTTTTTTCTGTTTACAGGTAAGTGAACTTGTTAGAGAAGTTTCTTGGGTATATAGGTAAGTTATATACATCTTTTTTAAATAAAATACCTTTATTTTCATCTTTAAGTCTCACTCACACAGAAACATGTGTCTTATTATTTTTATGTTAACAAACATAATGAATCATTTTTAAATCAGCTATATTCGTGGACGTGTCCTAAAACCATCACGTTACAATTTATAATTCACCATCATTTAAATAGAAAAACAGCGTGACTGTTTAAATTTCATCCCTTAAAATGCGGCTTTAGTCAATTTTTCTCGACACCCTCAAATTTCGCTTAGAGATTAATGTTATACATTTTTTATTTTCACCCGGTTTTTAACCGACAGCAGTGACCCGGATTAATGATCAAGGTGGATATTGTAAAACGATTTATAAATACAGTAGATCTCTGCTCTGCTCCGTAGAAATACTAGTCTATACTGTTTATGAGCTAGTAAGTCGCTAGAGTTCCATCGGGAGTTTGGAGAAATGGAGAATGAAGCTGTCCACTCTCAATCGGTGTAAGATGGAACTCTCCATTACCTATCACTTGAAAAAGGATACCAAGTGTATGGAAAGATGAAGAATGAACAGATACTGGCATCACTAGTTTTAAGAGAGAGGCCTCATCCATATGCAACGAAAATATGCTTTAACGCCATCTAGCAGAGACAAGTTGAACTGTAATAATAACTACCAATGCTGTATCGCGCATTGAAAGTTCTTTTGTCTGCCTAAAATCTATTGTTGGTTTAACCCACATCCCGCTTGGCGTGTTTTGGAAGGACATAACATCCTTGCCTCCACACTAGCTGTTCATGTACTCCGTCTGTTGTTTCCAATGTAGCCAAGTACATGAAAAGAATCTTGTAATATTTAAAACTTGCCAAAAGAAAACAATTCCTTGTTGTTATTGTTTTTATTTTGTTTTATTTATAACAGTGTGTAAAATATAACAAACAATGTGTTAACAAATTAACAAAGTGCTACACCATTTAACAGTATTCTCTTTAATTTTCTTTTAAGAGCAACATTATTTTTAATATGTATGAAATATTAACTTCATAAAAATAATTGATTTTAGTTTTCATTAAGTAACCCTTAGTCCTTATTATCTCTTAAACATATTTCACAAAAAACTGAGAATTTAACAACATGTGGTAATTTATAAACTCAATTACATTATGATAATTATTATAATCCAAAGGTTAATATTTATAATTATTAGTACATTGTGCATTTTATGTGTGTGCCGTATGTTTCTGTGTATTTATTTTCATTTCTTTGGTTTACAGTAAAGTAATTATTATTATTATTATACTCAGGCCTATATTTTAAAGCAAAAGTAATGTTTTAACAAAACTCCTACATCCTTAAATATTTTTACTCTCAGTTACGTGTCTAACGTATCTGTTATTTGAGTATTTGCGTGAAAATTCAATAACTTCATTTTTTTTTTGTTTGGAAACTACTGATACTATTGGAACGTTATATTATGTTATGGAGTCAAGAGGTATAAAAAATAACTATTTTATAGAAAAGCAAACTACCCGTTACTCTGAACTAATTTTTTTTTAAATGATCTCAAGAATGATAAGCCGGTATTCCATCTCAGCTGAAACCAACAAATCTCACGGATAATTTTACAGGTTACAATATGTAGTTTACTTGCGCATTGTCAGTTTAATTTGAAAAACGCTGTCCTATTGGTTAGCTATCTTCTTTCCGATTGGTCGAAGCGCGTGACCTTTCCTTTTCGAATGTTATGATTAAATGTTAAATCCACATGACGTACGCGTGTTAGAACCTCACTAGAGATATAATGTTTTCTTGTATGATAGATTAGCTTCTTTGCTACGATAAGTGTGGGATAGCACCAGTGGAATTTTTAAGATTATAGCTGACAAATAAGACCAAAGGGAATCCTGGTTCAAACAAATTTAATCATAATTAAAAATATAGATAACTAAAATAGTATGAAAATAAACTACAATTACTAGCTAAATTGTCAGAACAAATCAGCTGTAAAGCCCTCTAAAGAAAGTTAATGCCTTTAATTTCAAGTGCTTTTAATATTTTCCACAACGGTTAACGTGATATAATTAATTCTGGCAACAAAATGTTCTTTTATTAATGAATCGAGCCTTGCTAATTATACATTTGAGTAATTAAATTCTGAAATATTGGAATTTGAAGGTCGTGTTCTTCATATAGTATTTTATAGTATTCGCTGTGGCACATTGAAGTTGCTTTGATGAGAAATGAGAAACGGAATTTACGCGGACAATAGATAAAAACAATCCTTGAAACAGTTTATATCTCGTGTTAAAATTTGAGCTCAATTGGTGCAGTATTTTTTTTGAGTTTTTGAAGCTTAAGTACACCAACCAACTTAACATTTATACATAGGTATATAGATAGATTTCAGGGAGTTATTGTCAGTAGTGCTTTTTTACAAGGTGCTGTAATTTTAACTTAGTAAAATGTGGATGGGATTTAGCCTTTCATTACCACTTTCCTCCACTTTCCCGTGAAAGGCCTTAAGTATTCAATACGACCACAACACAGACAGATTAAGTCCGCTTCGTCCAGTTTAAATGCAGGAAGTTTTGAATAAATAAAGAAAACACAGACAGATTTGTTGCTATCGCTAACTGGCATTAGCAACAAAACTGTGTGTATGTAATTTAGATAATTCTCACGAATGTGTGATTGCAGCGTCTATACAGTAATAGGTTATTATTTTAAATTTCCTTTTTAAAGCTAAATCGCGCATCTATAAAATCTTCCTCAGGATATAACATCAGGAATCTGAAACAAAAGGTTTTTTTTATATAACACTATTTAACAAAGCAAGTTAAGTAACAAAGTAAATTTGTCTACTATAATTTGCATTCGGAACGACGAAGACGGAGTATCAAACTGACTAGCTCTTGTCATTATAAATTAACGATTCACCAATTAAATCGACAGAATAACAATTTTACGGGTCGTAAAAACTGACTGGAAAGCGCTCCACTGAATGGAAATCAGCAATTTATATTGCTGCTATGGTGGTGTTAAATAATTCTACATTGTAATACTACATCACGTTGTGTAAACTACTCCAGAAGTTTTTGTTTTAGAAAAATATCTGGACGGACAGGATGGACTAACCAACTGCACGGATGGCGTAGTGGTTTAAGCGGTCACCACGCTACTTCCTACTACACCGAGTGTTGTTCGTTCAAACCCCACATGGGACGACACCAAAGCAAGAAAAAAACTGTCACTTGATGATGTATTCAGTTGCGCTGGCACTTCTCAGATCCAAAATGTCCATCATTTTGACTCTGACAAACGCTAGCGCAACTGATTATATCATCGAATTTACTTCTATTGCCTAACGTGTACTCCTATTCTTGTATTAGATAGTAAATTAAGTTCAGTCGTAAAATACTTATTCAGAAAGTATTTTCGACATTATGGCAGCCTTCACAACCTCTTAAACTAGACGCGTTAACGGCTATTCTTATGTAGATATTATCGTTTTTCCAGCTTATGAGTCTGAGTGCGTCCTCGATATTTTTACTGCTGTATTTAAAAAAAAAAATGCCCGTCATTTTTGTACATTATTTTTTTTGTGAATAAGTATGAAATATGTCATAATTCACGATTTAATTAGTCAAATAACTTTTACTTTTTAAATTCAAAGAGGAAGAGTTAAACATTTTCCGTAGGAGACCCAGGTTTAGACAGGTAATAGTCGATTTGAATGGAGTGTTACCAAAACCTTACAGAGAAGCACTGTCAAGCAATTCTTTTAAGTGAGGTTATCGGAGGCCCAGGCTCCTTCCGCCACCTCTACCTTTGGGTGCCCTCAAAGGGCGTTAACACACTAGTGTTTAATAAGTTGCAGGTGTCCAAAGACGGTGGTAGTCACTTGGTGACCTGTCTGCTCGTCAGCTATTCCATTAAAAAGTCGCTAATTTTAAAGTTATGTCGTCAAATAAGGGTCATAGAAAATACCTGCGCAGTGGTATATGCTCCATAAGTGTTCTCATCTGGCTGGTGTAAGGTAAAGCAAAATTTTGTGCAGCATCCACGTGTTGGACCACTTCGTAAGCCCACTCCGACCACTCGAACAGCTTAGCTAAAGAAATTGACCAAATTTAACAATGCTAAGGGCTTACATAGTCGTAGAATATTAAATTGAACAAAAATACTTGTAAAATTTTAAATACCAGTAGTGTCACATAGTACTACAAGTTCTAATCCTCCCCCCTCCTAAAAAAAAACAGTGAGTGTAATGGACAGTCGACTTTACGGTCCCGAAGCAGGAGGGGACGCTAGTGGTAGGCAAATATTTCTTAAGCCGGATTCGATGCTCTTTTGTGCTCTAAATCTACAGGAATGAAATATACCTACGTGGTATAAATTAAGTCTTAACTTGACTTTAAATACTTTTGCAGATAGGTATGATATAGCAGGCCAAAACCTCATTTCTAAGGAGAGGCCTATGTCCAGCAGTGGACTGTTATAGGCTGTTGATGATGATGATGATGATGATAGGTATGCCAGTAGGCTATCTGAATACGCCACTATCTCAAATTCCTCCTCCTAGTTCAGGTCATAAAGTGAGAAAACTACGATAGATATCAATACTTTTGTCGATTTTATTATAAGGGTTTACAGGCAGATGTAAAATGCGTAACTTTATCCAGCAGTCAGATTAAAAATGACTGCCAGTCTTCGACTAGATGGTTTGTCTAACGGACTGCTATTCCAAAGGTCGCGGTTTCGATTCCCGCTCAAGTGAAACATTTGTGTGCATGAACATTTAATGTTTGATTTGGTCTGGGTGTATTTATGTATAGTAAGTATTTACAAAAAAAAAGTATAGGTATATGTATTTATATCAGTTGTCTAGGACTATACAAGCTCTGCTTAGTTTGGGACAAGATGGCGTTGTATGAATGTGGTAGAATATCATTATTATTATAAGTTTTTTTTGTTTGAACACGTAATTATTGAAAATATAAGAAATTAAAGTTGATAGCCATTTTTAAGATCGTACTACAAGTCTCAGGACTAAGTAAACGGATGGAACTGCTAAAATAGCTAGTCTATACAGTATATATATAAATCTTACATTCAACTTCGCTGGTCATATCAAAATGGCTGAGATCTGGTATGTCCAAGATGACGTCCAGATCTTCGTCCTCCAGTTTCAGGTAAACTTCTCTTTTCTTCTTCCTCAGCTTGAAAGGGAACGATATTTCCACAGTCGCTAGAAGAGAAGCATTTTATTAAAATGTTGATTAAGTTAGTTTTAGAAGCACGGATGGCGTAGTGGTTTAAGCGGTCGCCTCGTCGCTTCCTACTGTGATGAGTGTTTTGGGTTCGATTCCCACATGGAACCACTTTTTATGTGATCCACAGATTGTTATTCTAAGTCTGGGTGTTCTTTGTGTCCGTTTCATGTATGTTTGTAAAGTCCCCGCGACACAGTAATATAGTCTTATAAAAAAAAACTTTTGAATGTGCTTAACAATTTAAAAGCTGACTACACAACACATCTCGGTACTCGAACCGGCTAAGTTGATCACAGTTCAATACTCCTCTCAACCAGGTCCTATTGTTTACGCGTCTTTGTCCTCGAGGATCAAGCATGAACCCTCCGTGTAAGGATTAGTACTCTCGATGTGAGGGGGCAGATATGAATAGGGCTTATTATTTAGGTATAATAGCAGACACTTGTCTCCGCCTGAGGGTTAAAGTAAAAAAAAAAAAAAATTAAGATTTTCTTTCTGAGAGTTAAGGGGCAAACTTGAATTTATTGCTGTAAAGCCGCAGGAATTAGCTTGTTTTTAATAAATATAAAGATATTCATAAAAAAAGCCGTGTGGTGTCGGTGGACACCCGATAGGAACGAAGTTGTGGCGATCGAGTAAAACTGATTCGACACGATTTTAATTACAACGCCATCTATGAAAGCGGCTATCACCTATATATTTTTCAGTTGGTTTCTAATTAAAACAATTTATACATTGGTAAAATCTCCTTGAGAAATGATTTCCTATCTATTCGATAGATGGCGCTGAATGATTGACAAGTGACAATTCAAAATAAATACTGAGATGAAACATAATGATGTTCTATCTATTCGATATATGGCGCTGAATGACCGACATAAAAAGTGTCGTTTCAACTTTTCGTGAGATTTTTTTCCGTCTAGCCCCCTTTCACAACTTGCGATAAGGAACTTCGTTCCAAAACTAACATTTTCTTTCTGAGAGTTAAAATTACTTGCCCTCACTGACTAATTCATCAACGCAGAGTCTGAACCACTCGGGCTACAAACTTGAAATTTTTTTCTGTAAAGCCGCAGGAATTAGCTTGTTTTTAATAAATATGAAGATATTCATAAAAAATTGTTTTCAACCAGAATTCCGTCAAAGATACCAAAAAATACGGCAATTCTTATATTATTACGTAGAACAAGCATTTAAAGCCAGTGGCCATATAAGCGTACGTTTCAAAACTTACAACTTAACGTAAATTTCTAGTTTATTTTCCAATTCCCATATTTACATCTATAAAATTATTAAAATTGAAGTGTCTATAATGTCAAAATAATAGGTTTTTTCATGCTTACACTGTTATATGCACGATACCTATGCCTAAAAACCAGTTTAATTATTAATTGTCTGTCTGTCTGTCTGATTGTTCCTGGTAATCTTCAAAAGGCTGGACTGATTTTGATAATATTTTACTACCAAGTAGCTGTCCATACAAGGAGTAACTTAGGCTATTTTTTCTCCCAGAAGCTCCCGCTATAAAATTTTGCCTGGTCCGGGAATCGAACTCACTAAGGCAGCGCTTTTCAAATTCCACGCGAACCAAGTCGCTGGCACCAGCTAGTTATAAATATGAAAGTGAGTTGTTTGTTACGCTTTCACGCTTTAACCATTAAACTGAATTTAAAAATTCTTTCACCAATGGAAAGCTATATTATTACCGAGTAAAATAAGCTATATTTTACCGAGATAACCGACAACCGTGTGGTGAGGGATTAAGAATACAAATTGTCACCACCCCAATTCATCCCGTGGGTGTCGTAAGAGCCGACTAAGGGAGCAAACTAAGCAGGACAACAGCACTGCAAAGAGATGGAAAACTTGAAACAAACCCTATACCAACCCGTCTGGCCAGCGTGGTATAGTAGGCCAAAACCTCCTTTCTAAGGAGAGGCCTATGTCCAGCAGTGGACTAGTATAGGCTGTTGATGAAAAAAATGAATGAACCGACATACACGCGGGCGGAGCCGCGGTCAAAAGTTACTAATAATACTAAGTGTCTTACCGTTTCCACTAAATCTCATCATGGCACCTGAAAATACATGAAAAATTCATCAGTTTAGGATTAGCAAAACATATTTCTACTTATACATACATCACAACATCCATACTTATAATGAATCTGAAAGTTAGTTTGTTTGTTACGCTTCTACGCCTAAACCACTAAACCGATTTTGAAAATTCCTTTCCTGAGCTACATAGGTATGTGTTGAAGCAGTTCCCTACTCTTCTGTCACTATAAGATGTACTTAACAGTATAGGGAGTCCTTCTTCCGTTTGGAAATTCCCTTTGTACATTTTTTTATAAATCTTTTTTATTGATCAAGGGTCTTGTGTAGGTTTGAGGTACTTCAGTAAACAAGTCAGTATTCTCTTTTGTTAGAAATTTGCTGCTTTTATTTTAAAACCCATACACACATACATATGTATGTATACGTGTACACTCTTAAGGGTACAGACCTCAGTGCACGTACAATATGTACATACGCAAATAAAGTAGGCAGTTTTTTTTTTTATGGTATAGTGGGGCAAACGAGCGGACGGGTCACCTGATGGTAAGCAACTACCGCCGCCCATGGACACCTGCAACTCAAAAGTCACAAGTGCGTTGCCGCCCTCGGAGTCCCTATCGCTTGAGTCAGCGGGAGGGGGGATTTGGGCTCCGGTAACCTCACTCACTCAGTGAAAGGCAACGAAAGAATTGCTTAACACCGGTTTTCTGTGAGGCCGTGGTATCACTCCGGTCGAGCCGGCCCATTCCTGCCGAAGCGTGGCTCTCCCACGGTAAATTACTTGTGTGAAATTTACATGTGTGAAATCCCAGCTGGCCTTATAATACTTTTTAAAATAAAATGCAATAAAAAAATAAGTTTACCTTTGGATTGTTTGATTTTCTCGAAATCTGTGAAAGATATAAAAAAGGAATTCATAAACATTATTTACAAACATTTTTACCATTATTAGATGAAAATGGTAACTACTATAGATAATAAAAATACTTTTATAAAAATAATATTTTAAACCAAACAGAGCTTGTACTATATTAAAGCTAGATTGACTGGTAGAATACTTATATACATTTTTTGTAAATACATACATATTAGACATATAAAACACTTAAACTCCGAAACAAATATTCGCAGATCATACAAACATTTGGTCCGACCGAATCGAACCCGAGACCTCAGTACAACAGTCGCATAAACTACCACTGCGCCACCGACGCAGACTAACTAATTATTTTTCTTGAAGTCTATTTTAACTACGTGCAGAAACTCTGAATCTCTTTTTTGTGGCACACATAGTGTTAAAAAAGATTAGCAAACAGTTCTTACTCCTTTTAATACTACTGACAGATGTATTAGAGGCCAGAAGTAATTAATGATGAATCATCAGTGGTAAAACTTGACGAAAACATAAGAGTATCACCGTACGTGCCTTTTTTGGTACTTTCTTGGTATCAAGATAAAATTAACGGACATTCTGTTCAAATCAATGACATCATAAGACGATATGAACCGATTCTCGTCACCGGAACTCATGAGTATTCCATCCGTGATCAACATCAATGCAATTTGACTACACGGATGGCGTAGTGGTTTAAGCAGTCGCCACGCCGCTTCCTACTACGCCGAGTGTTGTGGGACGCCACTTTGTGTAATCCACAAATTGTTGATCTGTGTCTGGGTTTTGTTTCTGTCCGTTTCATGTATGTTTGTAAAGTCCCCCGCGACACAGGATTTATTCCTAATACCCTAATACGGGAGTTGTCTTTTTAAATCAATAAAAAAAAACACAAGAATTCGGTCTAAACGCCAAGTAAAGAAAGAAGTATCTTAGGTGGTAAAATAGTATCTCAAAGTTCTGAAGTCGCGAGGGTTTATAAACAATTTTTACATGAAAATCGATCCATCCGGTTACAGGCCACGAAGATACAAACAGATACAGGAGGAGCAAACTTGCAAAGATTTTAGAGATACATTAAAAATAATCTAACTTACCACGGTCTGGCCTAGCACATTGCTTAGTGATAGAATTCTTGACTTGTTGAATCCTTAGAGGCAGTTCCAGGGTCATGGTGTATCTGTTGGGGTAGTGCTCCATTCTGGAAATTAAGACATTATATTTGGATTATAATGAAGGCTGCCGAGTGTGGTAGGGTTATCCAGGGGTGATCTAAGATTAGGGGTGTATAAAGGTGGTAGTATTTCCCATTATACATATTCTCCCACACATGTTTCTGATGAAGACATTATCCCAAAAAGATTTATTATAATTAAATAAATATATTTTTTTATGTTTTTGGAATACACAAAAGATAAAAGTTAGGTAATGATTGAAGAAAATTCATGGCAAACACTAAAATAGATCTGGTAGTATAGTCGTATCTAGAAGTAATAGAAGTCACGTCATCAGTAGCCTTTAGTAGTCTACTGGCTGGACATAGGCCTCTCACTAAAAAGGAAATTACGTTTTCTGGTTTAAATGGTTTTTTTTACAAACAAAAACGTAAACCAAAATGCCTTATATTTGTGTTTGTCCAAAGTTGTGATAAAACTCTCCCCCCCCCCTCCCCCCCTGAACGGATCATGCCCTGTCTTTCCTTTCTATTCACGTAATGTGAATAGAAAGGAAAGACAGGGAAGTAGACGCTACAGAAAGGCAAATATTCATCATCAACAGCATTTAATAGTCCACTGCTGGACATAGACCTCTCCTTAGAAAGGAGGTTTTGACCTATTCTACGACGCTGGCCAGACGGGTTGGTATAGGGTTTGTGTCAAGTTTTCCTCTTCTTTGCAGTGCTGTTGTCCTGCGTAGTTTGCTCCCTTAGTCGGCTCTTACAACACCCACGACATGAATAGGGGTAGTGACACTCCGTATTCTTAATCTGACACCACACGGAGGTAAATATTAAGTAGTGATAAACATCTGTACGATATGGATGTCAGCTCGCTCTCCTCCAATCCTGACAGCTTGACACAGGTGCTCTTGCCATACTCGAAGACGTAGTGCTTGTACAGCGGAATCCCTAGCTTGTCATTGCCCAGTAGCACGTTGTCACGGAGTGCCTTGTACTGACGCTTGAAACACTCGAAGTCTGTCGTGTGACATGCTATTATGTAGCGATCTGGAAAAAGATAAAATTATTCTAAGTATTCTGTTGTGTGTGCCTTGAATCTTCAGAGGCCCAGGTGTGAGTTTATTTCACTTCTACTTAATCGTCACGGTGACCGCGTTCGGCGATGTGATTGGTCCGCACTGAAACCTCCACCAATCGCAAACGCCAAACGCGCTCGCTATGGAGAGCTAGTCAATGTGAAATAAACTCACACTTAGGTCTCAGGACAGTGCTGGACAGTGACTTTTCTTGTACATAGCTAGTCAAAGTTAATACGGAAAAAGCTGGACAAATATAGATCAAACATAGACGATAGTTCAGCAATGAGCAGCTGAAGCAGTATATCTACCAAATTATTATCGTCCAAAAAATAAGTGTTGCCACTTTGACTATTTTAGGCCTCGTGGTACTCGACATCTGCCGGTCGCATCCACAACTGATCGGGGCTAATCGGCTTCTTTCGTGAGCGACCGGTTTCAATATTACATTGTTAATCATAAAATATTACACAACTAAAATTGCAGTCCACTAGTCATTTATACAATCCACTGGGGCATCGTCGGCGATATGCACAATAATGAAAAGTGCTGCAATATGGCAGAACATAGACATGGGAGAGCCATGTTTCGGTACAAATGGACCGGCTCGACCGGAGTTATACCCTGGCCCTACAGAAAACCTGTATTGAGCAATTATTTCGTTGCTTTTCAACAACTTTCTCTCCTCCCCTGTTTCTGGGGGGGGGGGGGGACGCAAAGGGCGGCAAGGCAAAGGCTGACTATTGAGTTGCAGATGTCCATGAGCGCCAGTAGTTACTTACCATCAGGTGACCCATCTGCTCGTTGCCTTCCTAAACCCTCATAAAAATAGACATTGGTGGTAGGTACAAAATTTGAAATCTGCAAAGATATGAATCACTCAGCTGACATCAAATTCTCACTCTTACTGAACCCAATATTATCCTATTCTATATTGTAAAGTAGCCTTATATTAACCATCTACCATTATTGCGCAATTACACTGGAATGTATTCCTGAATTCGTGGAAATCATTTACTCGAACCCAAGATAATTACTGGTTGAATTAGTATGGTAATGGAATATTGAATTCGGTTATTCAAAACGACTAAGGTCAGGAGACCTATTTAGCAGAAGGATCATAACAGACATATAATCTTGAAAGTTCATGAGGCGATTTTCCAAAAGACTTCTTCATTAAAAGTTTTTCACGGACTCCTGTCAATTGGACTAGATCGTCAGCTCTCGTGGCCTGGCTGTCAGACATCGAATGCTATCTTTTTTTGTTAAAGGTCATCACTGACATCGTCGTTGCGGAATATTTTACACTTACTGTCTTTAGTGTGGTGTCGGATTAAGAATACGGAATGTCACTACCCATATTCACCCCGTGGGTGTTGTAAGAGCCGACTATGGGAACAAACTGCACTGGACAACAGCACTTCAAAAAGAAGGAAGACTAGAAACAAACCCTATACCAACCCGTCTGGCCAGCGTGGTATAGTAGGCCAAAACCTCCTTTCTAAGGAGAGCCTATGTCCAGCAGTGGACTTTTATAGGCTGTTGATGATGATGACTGTCTTTAGGATTCCATAAATAAAAAAAAAAGGATGAAGATTATTTTTTCCATGTCAACACACACTTTATCTACAATATGTATTGAATTCTACATAACACATACATAAGTTTTTATCAGCAATCGTGTTATCATTTAGTAAAATATTTACTACATTTATTATGGTCCCAAATATAAAAGGTAATTAACTATCAAGAGACTATGATCCCAAGAGCCGAGTAGATCTTCGTGCAACAGGTCTAGATTGTTATACAGATAATTCTATACTTCAGTGAGTTCTTCGACCGAGCTTCTTCGTATATATCATGGAGAGTGCTCCGAGGAATTGTTTGGACTAATACCGGGCGCAACCTTCAGCCATCGTTCCACACGGCAAAATTTTCATCTCCACCACTGTGCGCTTTCCAAGACACTACTAGAAGCAGCAAGTTATCGGCTGCGGTATTTCTGGACTGATACGACCTTCAAACCTTCAAGAAAAGAGCGTACTCCTTCCTCAAAGGCTTGTGACTCCTGAATTGCAGGCGTTCATGGGCGGCAGTAGTCGCTTTCCATCAGGTAACCCGTCTGCTCGTTTGTCTCCTATTCCATAAAAAAAAGGAAAAACTTTTCCAAGTATCTGCGCAGTGTTTTAAAAAAATACTAGCAATACGAAAGATATTTTTTAAACATTAATTATATTAGTGGTCGCCTAAAACTAATAAAAACAGTTCTATTGAAAGTATGGAAAATACTGACAGAAGTTTATTTGAGCCTACGAATACTCCTGATCTATCTTTACTCTGCACAAAGACTCTTATATCATTCTTAAGAGCAAATCCATTCATTTTAACACCCCTTATCCGATGAGAACTCTTTAAATTACCTGCTATGCCGCTGCAAAACGAATGTTTGCTATCGACTAAACTCGACTCCGCAAACACGTACGCTTGCGGCAGTTCAGATTATCCCGAAGTGGATCCCAATAATTCAGGTGTACCTAATGCTTGTAAGAACAGTGTTTGTATACTCGTAAATAGTTCTTTATGGACCACAAGTTTAATTCGGACACAGGAGAAGATTCCGTGTGGTGACGGATTAAGAATACAGATTGTCACCACCCCTATTCATCCCGTGGGTGTTGTAAGAGTCAACTAAGGGAAAAAACTACGCAGAACAACAGCACTGCAGAGAGAAGGAAAACTTGAAACAAACCCTATACCAACCCGTCTGGCTAGCGTGGTATAGTAGGCCAAAACCTCCTTCCCAAGGAGAGGCCTATGTCCAGCAGTGGACTAGTAAAGGCTGTTGATGATGATGATGATGAGGAGAAGAGGATGAATAAAGAAAAGATATAGGGACTACATGAAAGAGGATATGGCTAGAACGAAATTAAGTCATGACGGGTAATATTAGAGAATGGAGTGCTTAATTAACAGGAGTTAATTTGAACTGCTTGACGCTTTGACCAGTGTGTGCTGGTCATTATCACAGACTGACTGCTTATGAAGGAATTACAGTTTCATTCTTATCATTGGACATAAGCTGTTCCTTAGAAAGGAGGTTTTGGCCTACTATAGCACGCTGGTCAGACGGGTTGTTACAAGGTTTATTTTACGTTTTCCTTCTTTTTACAATGCTGTTGTACTAAGTAGTTTGTTGGTTCATTTTAGTTGATACAAGTTCTTTACTTTAAAAGTCAACTCCCGCATTAGGAATATATCCTGTGTCGCGGGGGACTTTACAAACAAACATGAAACGGACACAGAGAACAGCCAGACTCAGAACAACAATTTGTGAATCACACAAAGTGTCCTTCCATGTGGGGATCGGACCCACAACACTCAGCTTAAACCACTACGCCATCCGTGCAGTCAAAAGTTCGAGTTAGATATATGCGACCCTTGCCTGCTTTTCCCTATTGGTCCCTGAATTGCTTGTTTACCAGCAACTGGTTACAATTTTTTATCTCGTCAGCTCAGACCATTCTGCTTGGATTCTTGGTCGGTTCGATTCCGACTTAATCACCATGATGGTCTCCGAGGGGATTTCACCACAAAAAAGGGTAAAGGTATATGTCCTGTATATTGCTTTAATTCAAATGTTACCTCTTAGTGACCACATGCCATTTTCAAATCAATGACTAAGGTATATAATAATTCTAAATTTAATCCCGATTTAGTGTAGACGGATAAAAATATAAAGATGGCCGCCCTCTCTCGTTTTCACTGAAAGTTAAGAGGGAGATAAGGGGTTGACATACTTTCCTTTATTCAATATTCATTATGAAACTTAAAATAAGTTTCGAAGTTACCGCCTCGATATACTTTCGAAGTATTTAGGAGCTTTTTAAAAGGGGTTTTCCAAGTACTGAAGTAAGAGTGCTTAGTTTAATCAGTTTACTGCCAGACAAATATTTTGTGGTTGCCTTGTCGCTGCGATGATATTTTTTAAAGAACTTTAAAAGCAGTTGCTCATAAGATCAGACTCTTGAAATATAACAGTTTACTTGTTGTTTTAATGTTCCTAGTAGACATTATTATCATCTATATAATAGGTCTTTACCTATGAAATTGCCGTTTTGTATGCAATAAGTGAAAGTACTTATTTTTTCAAATTTTTTTATTTCTGTTATTCGAAGTAATCTCCCATGCAATCGACGCATCTTTGCCAACGCATTGGCAGTTTATTGATGCCCTTCTTGTAAAAATCGGCTGGACGGGAGGCAACAAACTCTTCAAAGGCATTTTGTACTGCCTCTCGGGAATTGAATTTTTTACCCACTAAAAAGTTGTCTAAATTTTGGAAATAGTAATAGTCGGTAGGTGCAAGGTCAAAGACAAAGACCTATTATAAACATATAAAATTGTCTCTTTACTCGTTTTTAAGGAAATTTTGGATATAGTTGTGAGTTCAAAAGAAAAAGCAGTCACCAAATAATAGACAACTTCTAAAAATGTTAGGTTTGTGAAAATATACATGAAAATATAACTATATATAGTATTAAACAATATAATAACAGGTGCATTATCTTTGTAAAAGATTTCATCTAAACAGTCGCCATGACGCTTCCTCCTTTTTTTTTTTTTTTTTTTTTCCGTGCTGAAATCCCCTCGTATATCCCCCTGTCGGTGGCATGTCGGACTCGAACCGACTAAAACCGCACGCCGTCTCGGGTACTAATAGCCGGGGAACCAGGTATACCCTAGAAAGGAAGTCCCTGGTGCCCCGACATACTTCGGGTCATCTACAGACGAGTAGACGACCCCCCCCGTGTGGGAACCCCATGTTCCCTGTGCTCCCTGGAAGCGAGCGCGCTTCGCAACGCGCTCGCCGCCACCCCGGCCTGCTTCTGCTAGGGTGACAGATGGCCTCACCTGTCACCCCTAGGCCTGCGCTTATGGAGGACGGAGGTCGTTCTGCGATGACGCTTCCTC